TGCAAATCCAAGCATCTGTAAGCCAGTTTCTGTAAAACGCTGACGTTCTTCGTTTGCACCTACGAAATTTTCTTCTGGTCCTTCTTCCCCCCCAATTTTGTCAGGTGTAACACAAACTGCTTCATCGGAGACGGCGGGCATCGGCTACTGTTGGCGATCGCGTTCGTAACTGAGGTGGACTTCGCGAACGTCATCCGGGTCAGCATCGGCAAGAGGAATAAACTCCGGTATGCTAGTCGAGGTGACAGGTTCGGGAATGTCTGTTGCGGCAGCTTCGGATGCTTCAGAAACTGCTTCGTCCTGTACATCAATTTCGGCTTCATCAGTTGCAAACGCACGCGAGCCTTCAAACAGCCTGGCGGGGTTGGCAGCTGCTGCCTGGTGGGCACGAAAAGTGGGCAAGGTGAGTCTTTCATAGAAGAGACAATCACGTGATGGGACGATTTGGTTGGAGCGAAGATCCAAAATCTTCCATGTGTGATACTGTTTTTCGATGCCGAGATGTACCCCCCATTTTGCTCGTTCTGAAAACTTCCCGAGTACTGCAGTGGGAGGACAAAACTGCACAACACACCCAAACACTCGTAAAAGTTTGGTACTTCCCACTGTACGTGTCCACTGCAGGTGCGGAGAGGAAAACTTGGGCAGGGACGTTGAAGAAGGAAGATTGTGTAACAGCACGGCGTGGTCCATCGCATACGGCCAAAAACGCGGTGGAAGGGCTGCCTGTGTCAACAGAGCACGCATCTTCTCTTGCAGAGTTCTGTTCATCCTTTCTGCTACCTCCATCTGTTGGTGTGCATGCGGCAGTGGCTGCTTCCGTTTGATGCCGAGTGTCTGAAGGTATTCTCTGAAAGTGTTGCTGGTGTATTCCCCTGCACCATCACTTTGAAATTCTTGCAGTTTCACGCCTGACTCACGTTCAGCGACAGCGAGCCAGGCGACGAAAACGGAGTGAGCAAGATAACGAGCGAGAAGGTTTGCTGTCCAGACGTAGCGTGTACACGCTTCGATGAATGTTATCACGTACTTCTCGTCTTTAGGTCCTGCTTCAGGTAAGTTTAGTATGTCGCTGTAGACTTTCTGCATCAGTTTATAACGTGTTGAGCCAGGAAAATGACTTGGAAACGGATCGTGAGTAAGGTTGGCAACCGGACACGTGGTGCAAACCGTCGGACGAGACTGCGGCTTCATCTCCATGCCGTCAGGTAAGAGAAGACTATTCTTATCAAGAACTGCTGCTCGGATTGAATTATTAAGGATCCCTTGTGCTGGATGTCCTAACCGCTGATGCCAGATATCTTCGGTGGCTTTGTGTCCTGATGATCGCATGTAGAAATCTGCGTTAGTATTAAAAGAAGAAATAACAAAAGGAGAAGCGTTGGTGACCCGTCAATCTCTCCTTCAACGAAACGTGTAAGTTGTGACGAAACATTGGAAGGTACTGCTGCAGTTGCGATTGCAATTTCTGATGCTGGTTCGGTTGATGTTGTGGCAGGTGCTTCGGCGACAGCTGCTGTTAGACACGGCTGCTCGGTGACTGCTTCCTTTTCGGCTTCTTCAACGATGTCAGGTTCAGCTGCTAGGCCACTAATTTCCCCCCGAAGTGGAGCTGGAGTTCCTTGAAGAGCCTCACGGGTTGTATAAAACGTTTGCCAAGCGTTGGCGCCTTCATCGGCTGTATTGAACTCCCAAGTATCTAGTGCGGTAAGTACAGCAGCTGCAATTCGAGAAGCCGTTGGTACAGTAGTTGCTCGAAAATCAATATCCACGTGTTGATAATCTGTTTCTTCTGGGTGATCCTAGGGACCAAGTGCAAGGACGCGTTCAGAATCTCCAAAAGTTCCCTGTGCTGCAAACTGAAGAATGGACACGCCATGTTGAGTGGCGGCACGACCAAGGTAAGTATTCGTTGAACTGTGCCAGAGCTCCTAATCCATGGTTTCACAATTGCCCTGTGTGCGGATCTTGTGTGCCAGGAGCTGAGCCGTGGAAAGTAGATTGAATCCAAGGCCGGCGACGATAAGAATATTGGTAACATGTAGTGAGTATCCCGTGTCGATAGATTCGAGCATTACACTCCCAAGAGAACGTGCCATAATAGTTTGTCCGTTTGCGACTGTGACAGGTATCGGACGACGAAGTGGACGCTAGTTGGTGATGAAGCTTGTTTTTACGGAGCACATGTGCCAACCGCAGCAGCTGTCGAGATACCAAGTATTCGGTTCTGAAATTATTCGAACAAGGTTAGAGTAAACTTGAGGTAAAGGAATGCCTTCAACACTTGTGGTTTCTTCAAGTCGTGTCTCGAAATCTGTTTCTGAAACATCAACTGTGGTGACGCATCCAAAGACCCCTTTCCCTGATGTTGCAGATGCAAAAACCGGAGGACGATGCTGTAACGATGATGAATTCTGCGGCGTTTTCGGCATCTGCTGTGTTTGAGTCGTCGACTGCTGCGTTGGCTGATGTGGCTTTGGTAACTGCTGCGAGCGATGATAAGGCTGTGAAGTGCTGCGACGGTTTTGATGTCGACTACGACAATTATGGTATGTGTGTCCTGGTTTCTTGCAGAAATGGCAGAAAGGATATTTCGGGGGATGACGATGTTGCGCTTCGGGATTTGACTAAAAACTCAAGTGTAGTCCCTTTTCCTGATTGCGTTGTGACTGCAGGTCCAGATCTTGCTGCTCCGCTTGAAGATACGACGAAATTTCAGCTTCGGAGAGGTTCGGGTTCATGCGCAAGAAGGCGCGCGTCTGTCGCCATTCGGGTCCAAGGCCAGCAAGAAGGACCGTGAGATACATCTCACGAGGGAAGTATCCCCCACTTTTCTCCAGTTGATCGCGTAGTGTACGGACGCGATTAACGTAATCCATGACGTTCTCCCTTGTCATCATCTGCACATTTGTTAACTGCGAAAGAATCTTACTCACTGTTATTGTATCTTTTGCCATGTATACCCCCTTCAAGTGGTTCCATGTAGTTTCAACTGGTGTAAAGCTTGAATGAAACGATCGAACGCCGAGCTGCTCCTTCGGCGACAGGTTACGAACAAGAACTGTATACGCCCCGAGAGAGGCGTGCAAGAAACTCTGCTGCTCCAGTTGTGTTCCCACAACAGGATAAGTAAAGTCGCCAGTGAAGAACGGGCATAGCCCAGCGGACTGCGCAAGAAGCTCAAACTCGAAACTCCAGGAGTAAAAATCCACTCCATTAAAAGGTATGGTTGTCTTGATCTGTGTACTGTTAAGTAAGTTTGGCGGTTGAAAAATAACACCCGGTTGTTGAGGCTGTTGCTGTTGCTGCTGTTGCTGTTGCTGTTGCTGAAATTGCTGTTGTTGTTGTTGCTGTTGCTGTGGCTGTTGATGCTGTTGCTGAGCAGGAGGACGACCGAAGATATAAAAGGGATGCTGCTGCTGTTGTGACTGCGGCTGCTGCACAAAAGGTGAGAAAGCGAATGAACCAGTACTTGGAGCTGAGGCTCTACGCATGTAACTCGAGCCGTCAAGGATCATTCCACTGAATGCTGACGATATTGACTGCGTTGAAAACGGTGGTTGCGCTGTTGCTTGTTGCTGTACTGACGACTGTTGTTGAACTGATGCTTGTTGTTGTGCTGTTGTCTGTGTTTGGTGTTGTGCTGCAGGGGCAGTTGATGACATCCCTGGAATATTGGCAGAAGACGGATTCTGCTGCTGCTGCTGCATACCGATATGCGCATAAGCCGGAGGAAATGGTCCAGAGGCTGAGAGACCAGTGGCGGTCGTGGAGACATGTACTCCAGTAGTTCCGGAAGTTGATCCGGCAGATGGTGCTGGTGATGAACCAGTCATTGTTGAGAGTAGTCTTAATCCCAGATAGCTCTCATACCGTGTAATATTTCGACAGGTGTTGCAGAAGACTAAGTATAGAATCTGCAACCACAAGTACTTAACCAAGGATCTTTGCTGGAATGGTAGACGAGTAAGACAGCGGAAGTCTTGTAAGCAGGCCCTCAGATATCAGGGTAAAACACCCTGAAAGCCTGATTTTCAGGGTGTGGTCTGTTCTTGAGCCCTGAGATTTTAGGGTATTCATTTTGTTTGGCCTGAAATTTCAGGATGTGTGTTCTATTGGGCCCTGTTATTTCAGAGTGTTCTGATCCGCCTAGCCCTGAGGCCTCAGGGTATTACCGGGGACAGCCCTGACCTGATACATGCCCCCTGTACTGACGGGACGATACTAGGCTTATCCCCAGATTCCCGTCGTAGATGCCCGCGAATTGCATCTGTCCCATCGGCAGCATCACCGCCTAGTCTAGCAGCACCGGTTCCAGCAGCAACAGTTCCAGCAGCGTCAGTTCCAGCAGCGCCAGTTCCAGCAGCGCCAGTTCCAGCAGCGCCAGTTCGAGCAGCGCCAGTTCCAGCAGCGCCAGTTCCAGCAGCGCCAGTTCCAGCAGGCCAGTTCCAGCAGCGCCAGTTCCAGCAGCGCCATTCCCTGCCACACCGATTCCAGCAGCACCAGTTCCAGCAGCAAGTGTGGCATCGTTGGCGCATAGTGCCACCCGCATGGGTCCCAGCACGTCCAAGCAGGTGCTCGGTGCCCGGTGCTAGATAAGGAGAGGAGGATGGTGAGCCTGAGAATGATGATGACAGTATCTGTGGTTTTAGCTCTGATGACGAAGGAATTTTTTAATCTGATGTATCTGAACTGTAATGGACGATTTGGTATTCTGCCATACCGTGTGTGTTTCATGACAATTGTGGTGTTGTTGGTTGGATTGGAACATAAAAGCTGCTCTCTGAAAAGTACCCTGACACCTCAGGGTATTGCGTTGACGTTGCCCTGTGTAAACAGGGTGTGCATAGCGCTCAAACCCTGAGAGGTGCACGCTTTTCAGAGGATGAACCCTGAGGGCTCAGGGTGCCTAAATTTGAATCTGAGGGCCTGCTTGTAAGAGTGAACCTGAGTATATATTTCTGTGGAAGTCAAGTCTCAAAGTTCTCAAAGTTGAAATCTCAAGGTTAATAATGAAAGGACAAAACAAATATTTATAGCTCTAGGAAAGTACCAGTTCCGTAATGTACCTGTTCGTCACTATCGCGCTTTGCACCCTAAATGACAATGAAGAGGTCCGAGCGACTATTCGCGTGACTGAAACGACTGTCCAATGACGAGCGCTATTTGCCTACGTCATCCTACGGACTTATCTTCTACAGTGAGATTCGATAAACAAATTACAGAAATGCTAAGTATGAAATATACCACAACAGGCCAGACCATGACGTACACTAATGGAGATTCACTAGTCGGCACTATCATGGATTTGGTTGAGCTATAAACTTGGAAGGCGTAGATGGTTGTGACGATTAGAAACCTGTACCACGAATCAGTCGAATCCTATCATCCCCTTCATTACTGGTGATCTACACGCGGGTTGAATAACCCTCGGCATCGACATTCCCCCCGAGACCACAATCTCTGCACAGCACAGTAAAACTAGAACCGCTGAATTAGACTAAAAATAAGTGATATATGAGCAGTGCAATGGATGGCACATATACTATCAGCACGTTCGATGAGCGTAAGGTTAGAGGAGAGGTGGGATTTTGGGTTGCTTACCAAGGCCTTCTCGCACAGAGAGGTTGGGGCGAATAATGTCAGATTCGGGCACTAGGAAGGTGTCTCCGATGTACACGTGGTTCGTGGGCACGTACACACTCAGCAGCTCCTCTTGACTGCCTGACTCCAGCTGCCAAGGGGGTAGCAGGAGAGGCACGCATGGGGAGTGGTGTCACTCTCAGGCATGAGGAAAGTATCTCTGATGTAGACATGGTTGGTGGGCACGTACACACTCAGCAGCTCCTCTTGACTGCCTGACTCCAGCTGCCAAGGGGGAAGCAGGAGAGGCACGCATGGGGAGTGGTGTAACTCTCAGGCATGAGAAAAGTATCTCTGATGTAGACATGGTTGGTGGGCACGTACACACTCAGCAGCTCCTCTTGACTGCCTGACTCCAACTGCGCAAAGGGGATAGTAGGAGGGGCATGCATGGAATGTTGTGAATCCGCGAGGATCAAGCTGACAAGCGACAGGAGGAAATGCGAAGCACAGGAGGCTCCAGCGGTGTAACAAGATGGGACCGGGCTCTCTGGAACAAATGAGAGAAGAAGATGCAAAGAAGGAGATGCAAAGAAGGAGATTCAAAGAAGGAGATGCAAAGACGAAGCGCAACAGGGTGGGAGAAGGAACCAGCAGCTTTGCAGAAACACGTGAACACCGAACCTAGACACGCCTGAGGGACAAACACCTGACAGGTGAGATAGTAGAAACACATGTCCAGGTCAACTGAGCATCTGCATGCTTAGCAGCAGATGCAGCTGATGTCTGGGAAATGTTTAAATCCAGGTGCAAGGGAACAGTGGGCACCTGAAGGGTGACGTTGGAGGTGATGAAGCCAAAGGCGTACTCCCCTATGCGCGGATGGCGAAGGATGGCCACCTCCTTGAACGCATTCACGTTCTGATCTGCAGGATTGAAGATATCAAGCCAGGAGAAAGGAGACGAACCACATAGGTAGGAATCACTTGAAACCGAAGGCATACTCCCCAGTGCGCGGATGGCGAAGAATGGCCACCTCCTTGAACGCATTCACGTTCTGATCTGCAGGGACGGCACAAGCAGACAGGGGAGCACAGATGTGGAGATACGAGCCGCTCAGCTGAATGATTGGAGATGATAAGGGCAAACGGATGGCGGCGTATGAGGGGCATTGATACCCCAAGGGACAGAGGAACTCAGGGGCAGTCAGCAGATCCCCACCTGGCGAGATGGCGTTGCTGATTTGCATGATGTGCTTCATGAGAGGCGGAGTAGATGTGCTTCATGATGGCCATAAATTCACCATGTCACTAAGGAGCCCAAATGTAAGTGGCAAATCGATCAGAGAGGCGATTTTACCTGAACGCATCAGCACTAAACCCACCTGGCGAAATGGCGTTGCTGATGTGCTTGGAGACCAAAGAGACGTGCTTCATGAGGGGCATGCGCTTGATGATCCACTCGGCTACCAGGGTTCTAGTGATACCCATGCACGAGCAGAATGATGTCACCACTGCCCACCTGGCGAGATGGCGTTGCTGATCTGCTTGGAAGCCGAGTAGATGTGCTTCATGAGAGGCATGCGCTTGATGATCCACTCGCCAATCCACAGCACGGACGACCCCACCCACGACGACACAAACACGCCCACGAAGAAGATGAAGGAGATGGTTGTGATGAACCCGAGACCTGTGAGGCAGGAGACGAGGTAGGGAGGAGGGTGAGGGAGTGGGGGGGTTGGAAACGCAGGGCACAACGTCACCCACGAAGAAGATGAAAGAGATGGTGGTGATGAGCCCAAGACCTGTCACGGAGGAGAAAGAAGGGGGAAGAGGCATTCTCTTGATGAATCACAGAACGGACGCCCCCCCCATGACGACACAAACACGCCCGTGAAGGATGAAGGAGGCAGCGGTGATAAACCCCGGGCCTGCACTAAAGGACACAATCAATACGGGTGAGAGGGGGGAGAGCGCTGAGGGAGGGAGGGATGGAGGGGTGTGGGCCAATACACAATTGAAGTTCTACGTTGTCAGTCTGGCAATACCACCATGTGCCTCCCACTCCACACGGCTCAAGATGCCCTGTGCAGTGCTCTGCATCCTCACATCACACCCATGTTACCCACCCAGTATGTCGATGCCGTACACGTGGCGGTAGATGGGGGAGAAGAAGCCATCCACGAAGGTGAAGAACCACCACGTCATGTAGAAGGTGATGGCGATGGGGAAGAGGATGGCGCTGGGAGAAAGACGGGGGGATACGCAGACAGCATGGGAGGCAACGAACACCATGGGAGACACACCATGGTGGAGGAACCTCCATGTGACGTACAAGGTGATTATTACGGGGAGCAGGATGTCACTGGGTGGCGCGAGGGGGAAAGGCAGCACATGTTGGAAAAGGGGAAGGCAAAGGACACGGCATGTAGACGGTGCCCGCCATAAGGGAATGGAACGGCGCATGTTGGTAAAGGGACGGCCCAAGAACCCGGCATGTACAAGGGGATGGCTGTGGGGGACGAGATGGCACTGGACGGAGGGAGACGAGGGGCAACAAAACAACACGAATGTCGAGTCGTCACAGCACGCAATGCAAGACGCAGGCGGCAATGGTTATGTGCAACAGCATGGCACTGTGGGAGTCCAGCGGACTGGCAGGAACGAAATGCAGAAAGAGCAAGAGCCACGGAGATAGCTGGAGGTGTGTCAGTCAGCGGCTGAGAGTGAGCGAGGCAAGCACGGGCAGGGCGGTGGTGAGGCGCACTGGGGTGAGGGGCACTGGGGTGAGGAGCACTGGGGTGAGGGGCACTGGAGTGAGGGGTCACGAAGTGAGGGATAAGTAAGTGAGGGGTCACCGGGTTGAGGGTGAGTGGCGAGGAGGGGCGGGTGCGAGGGAGCTCACCATCCACTCATGAACCGCTTTGTAGCCCAGCTGTGCAGCACCGCGAGGAACGCCTGCGCACGAGACACACGACACGGTGCGAACGAGGCACGAAGGCGAATTGAAGAGGCACGCAGCAGGGACGCGATGGTGTCACGGAGAAAGGCCCTGCGAGTGCTGCGAGCGATGATGAATGCACCACACCTGGATACACATGTCGCAGACTCGTTTAAATTTCTATGCATTGGCACTAATATTGGCCGGTACTTTCGCGAGAACTGCTGATGTAATACTCTCGGTTCAGTCCAGCAATCTGTCTGTCCAGTCATTTCAAGCATAAGGAGCAAGAGCACCCCTGGGGTGGAGAGAAGCCACAAGATGAACGGCGGATAAGCGGCAACTCGCAGCAACATTAACGCCTGCCGACATTGACGCCGACATTGGCGGTGAGGTTTTTTTTACCTCCTTGCCGCTCTTGTAAGCCGACGACGGCGTGCGTCTCGCTGGTTCCGGCAGTCGCACGCCCTCCTCCACGTCCATGGCGTGCGACGTGAGCGACGCGTGCGAACTCGAGCCGCCGCTCAGCAGCTTCTGCCGATCGTCGGGCACGCGAGATGTGGGAATCGGTTTTTCCGCATCCATGGTCGAAGCGGACGAGCTGTTGAAGCTGCTGCAGCTGCTCAAGCTGCCCGTGCTGTTGAAACTGCTGCTGCTGCTGAGAATGTCGCCTAAAGCGAACGAATTCGCAGAGCCGCTGTTACCAATCTGCGGATCGTTGGCGAAACTAGAGGAGTGCGAGCGACGGAAGGCTCGCGGTGAGGCTAGGTTCCGTTGGTTTTCTTTCTGCTCGCGCGAACTTGGAGGGTGTGACATAGGGAGTCGCGATCGAGCATACCGGTGCGAAACTAGACGTTGCGAATGAAAGAGATTAAGGAGATTTTATGAACCTGACTACGGATCCAAGAAAGATCAGCTAACTTATGCCGCCAACGGGTTTATGATGGAAGTGATCGGAGTCAAGCGAATTCTCGAACAGCAATACAGCCACCGAAGTCAACACTAGCAGCTGATGAACTTGCACATAACGTGAGAATCAACCAGAAGCAGCGCTCTCCGCAGCTAGGAATCTGTGTAGATGGCGAAACAACACGGATCGTCAAGTTCAAATTGGACTAGTTAACGAAGAGAATCTGGTTCGCCATTGCAGTAATTTTCCCTCAGCTGCTCTTTAGCACAGCTCTTGACAAACAGCTCTTGCCAAAGCAGTCCAAACCATGGAACTCCGTGATTAGGGCAGGTCCAAATAGTACGTCTGATTACGGTGGAGTAGCTTTCGTTGCGTTTCAAAGCGTTCGAATAACAGACTAGAATGGTTGGGTATGGTATTTTGCGAAAACGAACTTTTTGAACCCGCCCTTAGGTCAGGGCGTGTCCAGCGCGTATGTTAACAATTCACTTTATACGGTTCAATATGGTTTTCAGAGTTCCAATGTGGTGAAGCGCAAGAACCGCTCCAGATCGTGATATATACTACTGAACCGTGATCCGTGTACTGTAAACGTACGCGCTGGACACGCCCTCAGGGAGCAGGTTCACCCAACTTGGAACTGAGCGACAATATCAATCGTACGATAGATGCTACTCAGTGCATCGAACGGGTAAGAGAGAGCGATGACAAGACTGGGCCTCGAACCAGTCTCTGAGAGATGTACAATGTGGCAGACGCGGGAATTGTAGAAAAGGGAGGAAACGAGCCTGCTGACACATCAAGAACTGACGGACGCAAAGCCTGCGACTCGACGGGATTACCGCCCACCCGGCTCTGAACAGCATCAACGGCTTTACCAGCTGAGTGAGAGATTGACAGCAGGAGTGAGTGATTCAGCTGTAGCAGGCAATATTCAGACTAACTTAAATATTATTATTAGATTATAAGTTGCAACACACACTTGCACATATTGTACTAAGATTATTACGCCATACGTCTAGTAATCGTGTGAAATTTTGTTCACATGATATTCCCAACACACGTCTACTATATAGTGAAACATATACTTGTCTTCATTGCTCACCCCATGAGAGGATTCTTGTTTTGCAAACCAAACGTAATCCCCGGGCAAGTTCCGAATCCTGGCATCATCTCCCACCAGTGCTTCAATCCAGATCTTTGAAAATCCTTGCACCCACCCTGCACACGCAAGCCCACAAATGGATACAACCACTTGCAGCTTGGTTTACAACCACATACACCCAAACCTGACAAGGATAGTGGTAGGCAAGTTATAAAGTTCACTCTCACAAGCATGGGACATGGGTATGACTCATGATTGAAGGGGGCGAAATGTGTGATATGCATGCATGTGACTGCATGGCTGCGAGGTGGAAGGAACGTAACCACTGGGTGTTGTTGCCCTCTATGGGGTCACAATGCTTGGAGGGGACTCGTTCGCACACGGGCCCAGGCATGTTGCACCAGTCCAGGTGCAGACTGCGCCCACACTGTTACCTGCATACCTGTGACCTGAATGCTTGTGGGGTGGGAGGCAACTCACCCATTGGACATGGCCGCCCAAGGGGTCGCATGGTTCCGAGGAGACTCGCTCGCACACGGGCCCTGTCATGTTGCGCCAGTCGAGGTGCAGGCTGCGCACCACCGTTATCTGCATGGAGTAGGCATCGATGCCTGCCAGCCCCACTGCCGTGCCGCCGAATGATGACACGTGCGTTATGAGGAGACGGTCACTGGGAGGGACGCAGGGAGGGAGAGAGAACACCAGGAGGGGTAGATGGGGATTATGTTTGTCTTGCGTAGGCCCGTTAGTCCTGCTGCAGTGCAGCCAAACGACGACGCGTGCGTTACGAGGAGACGGTGACTGGGACAAGGGAGGGAGCACGAGCAGGGAGAGTAAGGGGCGGGGTGGAAGCACCGAGTGACCAGAGCGCACCCAGTGCACCACTGTGCCTTGTACATGGGCTAGGGACCTACGCCTGCTAGTCCCGCCAGGCACACATGCTGCTGTGGCAGCAGCAGCAGCAGCCACAGCAGACTATACTCGCCATAAAGTAAAGGTCAACTCACCAGAAGCGAAGGGGTAGTCCATTAGAAGCTCAGCAGCCACCTGTCCACTATTGCAGCGCACCGCACAGCAAAACAGCAGCAGCGGCAGCGGCAGCAGCAGCAGCAGCAGCAGCAGCAGAGTCTACTCACCAGAAACTAAGCAGCCACATGTCCACGATGGCTGACACCATCTGCTCCTCCTTACGATTCTCTGCCTTCTCATTGGACAGCCTGCCATCGCAAGGACAGTAGGCATGCAGTTATGGTGAACAATACGAGTCTCTGCCTTCTCAGGCCAGTCAGCCTGCCATGTGGACGACAGTAGGCATGCAGTTATGGTGAACAATACGAGTCTCTGCCTTCTCAAGCCAGTCAGCCTGCCATGTGGAGGACAGTAGGCATGCAGTTATGGTGAACAATACGAGTCTCTGCCTTCTCAAGCCAGTCAGCCTGCCATGTGGAGGACAGTAGGCATGCAGTTATGGTGAACAGTACGAGTCTCTGCCTTCTCAGGCCAGTCAGCCTGCGCTGTCCAGGACAGTAGGCATGCAGATGCGGCTCGCATGAAGAGTCGCTGCCGTCTCATGCATCCCATGCTAAAGCCCACCAGACAACAGCCAAGCCAGCAGCCCCAACGCACCTTCAACTACTCACGTCCAGACATCAACGAGTGTGCTTCCCATTCCCAGCACGCGGTGCTGCGAGTAGTGGCGCTGCAGGTCCATCCCAGGCTAAGTCTAATCCAGTAGCAACTAAGCCAACAGGCGTAAGACACCTTCCCTCCACTCACGTCCAGAAGTCAACGAGCGCGCGTCCCACCACGCGGTGCTGCGAGTAGTGGTGCTGCAGGTCCATCCAGTGGCGAATGTTGAGCGACGAGACGAACACTCCCACCTTCTCGTACGGGGACTCGCTGGCTGCCGTCCAGGGAGCATCCTGGGAGGGAGGGTGAGAGAATTTGGAGGATTTCCTCTGAGTTTACTCCAAAGCAGGCAGCGAATTGTGAGGCGACTCAGAAGTCGGAGGATTTCCCATGAGTTGGTTGGCAGAAGAGCAGGCAGCGACAAGAGGGCTGCCGGGGGAGAAGACAAACGCCCCCACTTTCTCGTTTGGATACTTGCTTCAAATGAACAAGCGCATCCTGTGAGGATGAGAGAAGGGGCGGGATGGCAAAGGAGGGGAGAGAGAAGGGGGACGTAATGTAACGGGGAGAACCGGAGGGGAAAGTAAGCAGGGAAGGATGTTATTTCTAACTGCCACTTACTGCTGTGAGAGGGGCGGTGGGCAGGGAGAAAGGTTATTTCTAACTGCCACTTACTGCTGTTAGAGGGAGGGTGGGCGGGGAGGCCGCCTGAGATTCTGAGAGCTCTCTCGCTCTCAAGTCCACAGCAGCCGGTACGTGCATTCACACGCGGCTCATCAATACATTCGGAGATGGATCCATCTAGAGGCCACTCACTGCTGTGAGAGGGGCGGTGCAGGGAGGGAGGTTATTTCTAACTGCCACTTACTGCTGTGAGAGGGGCGGTGCAGGGAGGGAGGATATTTCTAACTGCCACATTATGCTGTGAGTGAGAGGGGCGGTGCAGGGAGGGAGGATATTTCTAACTGCCACATACTGCTGTGAGTGAGAGGGGCGGTGCAGGGAGGGAGGATATTTCTAACTGCCACATACTGCTGTGAGTGAGAGGGGCGGTGGCGGGCAGGGAGGAGGCAGCCTGCGATGCTGACAGCTCTCGCACTCAAGTCCAGTATGTGGATTCACATGGATTCGTCAGTTTCACTTGGAATTTACATCCAGCTGCCACGTGGCACTTACTGCTGTGAGAGGGGCGGTGGCAGGGAGGTAGCCCGAGATGTTGACAGCGCAGTCGAGAATCCGGTCGGCCAGGGGAAGATCAATCGCACTGGGTGAACGAATCTGGGGTGCATGGGTGGGAGGGACGCAGGGCATAGGATGCAAGCACACGGAATGGGGTGGTGTATATGTATGCATGCATGGGACACAGATCGCCATGTTGTAACAGTGCGACAAGTATGGGAGGCTCTCATGGGAAAATTCCTGACACCCTCAACTCTGAAACCCCCAACCTTGAAACCAGCCCCCACCTGAATGCCGAGCCGGTGTGAGAAGTGCGCGAGGTTGGCGTGGAAGACAGAGGTGATCTCGGCCCACAGCTGGTTGTCTGGGTGCAGCAGGTAGCGCGCCGCCTGGGTGTACACTCGGCCGTCAGGGAACAGCTGGTTCAGGCGATGCTGCCGGGGAGGGAGGTGGTGGGTGGAGTGGAAGGGGAGGGAGGTGGGAAGACCGCAGTACAGGTGTCTGGGTGCAGTCCAGTGCGGCAGGTATCGCGCTCTACTTGTGAACACACGGCCATCAGCTGGTTCTGGCGATTCTGGCGATTCTGTAGGGGAGGGAGGTGGTGGGTGGAAGGAGGAACGGTGGGAAGACTTTTGAGTCGACTCAAAAGGGTGATTCGCTTACAGTGAAGCTCGGGACGTAGTAGAGGGAGCGAGATTACTTTTGAGTCGACTCTTGACTTTTGAGTCGACTCTTGAGTTTTGAGTCGACTCAAAAATGAAGCTCGGGACGTAGTAGAGGGAGCGCGGAAAGTAGGCGTCGAAGCATGCTACCACACACAGCAGATGCAGTTGCTTGTTACACATTGTAACAACTATCACAGGCAAGAAGCTGAGCTTACAGCGAAGTTGGGGACGTAGTAGAGGGACGGCAGGAAGTAGGCGTCGAAGCTCGTGAGCCAGAAGGGGGCTTCGCCAATGGCGTCCCACACATGGTCACAGAACTCCGACCTCGCCCTGATACAGCATGGCATGGCATGGCATGGCATGGCATGGCATGGCATATGAAAAGAGGGAGGGGATGGGTGCGAAGATCGTGGGCCAGAAGCGGGATTTGCTGATAGCGTCCCACACAAGGCCACAGACCTCTCGCCTCACCCTGTGTGGGGTGCAAAGTGATGTGGTACGGTGTGGAATGGAAAAATGGCCAGAAAGCGGGGAGGTGGAATCATAGAAGAGCCTTGTTCGGCAGAACGAAGATTCGTTAGTTAGTCTCCTTTGTATTCTTCTAGACGTTGCATCGCATCCTATGGGCGTAGCATCCTATGGGCGTGGCATCCTATGGGCGTGGCATCCTATGGGCGTGGCATCCTATGGGCGTGGCATCCTATGGGCGTGGCATCCTACGGGCGTGGCATCCTACGGGCGTGGCATCCTATGGGCGTGGCATCCTATGGGCGTGGCATCCTATGGGCGTGGCATCCTATGGGCGTGGCATCCTATGGGCGTGGCATCCTATGGGCGTGGCATCCTATGGGCGTGGCATCCTATGGGCGTGGCATCCTATGGGCGTGGCATCCTATGGGCGTGGCATCCTATGGGCGTGGCATCCTATGGGCGTGGCATCCTATGGGCGTGGCATCCTATGGGCGTGGCATCCTATGGGCGTGGCATCCTATGGGCGTGGCATCCTATGGGCGTGGCATCCTATGGGCGTGGCATCCTTTGGGCGTGGCATCCTATGGGCGTGGCATCCTTTGGGCGTGGCATCCTATGGGCGTGGCATCCTATGGGCGTGGCATCCTATGGGCGTGACATCTCATGGGCGTGGCATGTGATGAATTGACGTGGAATTGAATGCGAAGGCACGATGTGGCGTTGCAGGCCCAGACAACAGCCAAACAGCTGCCCACCTGTGGAGCATGTCCAGACAAACAGCCGCCCACCTGTGAAGCATGTCCAGACAAACAGCCGCCCACCTGTGTTGCAGGTCCATCCACACAGTGCCATTTTCTTTCACCCGCCTCCTCATGTGCGCCAACGCCCCATCCCCCTGCGTGAACAGCTCTGTGGCCAGCGAGCTCACGTTGAGCAATGGATGGCTGAATACTTTTGCTGCAATCAGACTGGATAGGAGGGGGGCCGACGGCATGGGATGGGTGGAAAACAGCACTTTAAACCCCATCCCCCTGCGCGTGAAGCTCTTTAGTCAGTGAGCTCACGTTGAGCCAGGGGTGGCTGAAGAAGACCGATGCTCCATGCAGACTACAGAGGAGGTGGGGCGGGGGACAGGGGAGGAGAGGAAAGGCAACGGCTGGTTGAGCTTGAGAGCCGATGCCATAAGGGGGCTGGATGGGGGGAGGGGGGGGGCAGAGGGAAGAAGAGGAAAGGACGTAAACCCCTCGCAAGCAATGCCTCCCCCAACGCCCCATCGCCCTGCGTGTACAGCTCTTTGGCCAGTGTGAGAAGCATGCGGGATACGGCGTTGGGGAGGTATTGCGAGGGAGTGAGCTCCCGTTGAGCAACGGATGGTTGAAGGCCGATGCTGCAAGGCGACTGCATGGGAAGGGGGCAGAGGGCAGGGGAGGAGAGGGATTTAACCCCCACGGGCCACGTTCCGATTAAAGTTGTACTATATGTGATAAAGGCATGGGATGTACCTTAGGGACGGCATGTGCGGTCCTGTATGTGGCTTGTAGGTGTCCTATCCTGACCATTGACCCTCTGGCACGGCGCTTACCGCTGTGTGTAAGGCCCCACGGTCCACGACGTGTTGGCATGGGCGAAGGGGTTGCAGAAGCGCCGAGTGAGGAAGCCCTGAGGTGGAGCAATGATGGCCCGGTTGGTGAGAAGTCCCAGGACAAAAGAGATGACGTACGCTGTTATCTTGTTGCCAACACCTGTAGCATGAACCAGAACCAGTAGTGGTGAGGCGAGAGAGAGGGAGGGGCGTGTGGCGGGGCGTGAGGCGGTGAGTTGATGGCCCGGTTGGTGAGAGGGGAGAGCACGAAAGAGATGGCGTACGCTGAAGTCTTGTTGCCAACACCTGTAGAATACACCAGATAAGACAAGGTGGTTGTGGGGGAGGGAGGAAGCCGCGGGCTGGAGGGGGAGGGGGAGCAATGATGGCTCGGTTGGTGAGAAGGGCCAGCAAGAATGAGAGGACGAACGAAGTTATCTCGTTCCCAACCCAACACCTGGCAAGTGCATCAACATCAATTGTGGTGTGATGTGAGAGGGGCGTGCAGCAGAGCAATGGTGAAAGAGGATTGCAAGCCATGCACTGCACATACGCACTAAGAGCCACGAGAAAGGGACTGCATGCAGCTGCAAGTCATGCACATAGTCCCTAAGTAAGAGCCATGCCACTGACACAAGGGACTGCAGGCCACGCACATACGCATTGAGAGCATACCTCTGTCTATGTCATGAATCGCAATGTAGCGACACTGCCTCCTTTCCCGCCCATATCGAGGAATTGTCTCATTCCTGAGAGACGATGTGATTTATAGATTGGTTGAAACACATAGATGGAATTAGAAGGAGAGAGGGCATTAAAAAAGGTATCACCAACTCGAACGGTGCTCTAGACTCGCTGGTGAATGCTGCACGATGGATCAGAAGTCAACAGGGAAAGAAAAGGATCACAGGGAGAATGAAAAGGCGATGGTTTTAGAACGATGTGAAGTTGAAGGCTTTTAAGGTGGTTTTGTTTGAGTGCGAAACGATAACTGTTTTGCAGGAAATCTGACGTGGATGAGAAACACTTGATTCAGTTCGGATGAGGACCGAACTGGCCATGACGTGTCCTCTCCTTGCCACATCCACATGCCCTTATCTTGCCACGAATCCTTATCATACCACGCGTCCCTATCACGCCACGTCATACCACGTGTCCTTGTTTCTGACCCATTGCCAGCTCTCCACTCCACCTAACCCCACACACTCCCTCTGCATCCCTTCGAACTCCTCCAATGCATCCCTGAACGCTGCTGAAGGAGGGGATGGGCCGGCCTGCATGGGATGGGATGGGATGGGATGGGATGGGATAAGGTTGGATGAAAAGTTTCAATCTCTCACCCATATCGGGTAGTTTAAAACATCTACAAGTTTCCAAGAACATACCCCATGCTACAGATGTCACACCAAACCGCATGCCACGAATGTTTCTCCCTCGCCGACCATGTGCTACAGCTGCCTCCCCCTCGGCACGTGATACAATTGCCATTCCTTACATCATACCATGTGGTAAACATGCCTCCCCCTCCTTCCCCCCCCCCTCTCCCCCCCCCCCACACATACCGTGTGCTACAGATGCCATCCCCCCACATACCGTGTGGTAGAGATGCCTTTCCTGCTGGCTCCAGCACGACTCAGCCGTGCGATACTGCATGTGGTGCCACGCCAACGATGCATTGAACCTGGACGGCGGATCCGGCAGCTCGAACCCAGTGGAACTGGAGCTGGAACTTCTCCCAGTGTCACTATGCCGGTCACCACTATGAGGGGCGTCACTGTGCCCAGTGCTTTCGCTGCCTGCAGCGCTGCCGGCGGGAATAGGTCCCAGAGAGGAGAGGGTCGCCCCTGGAAGAACCAGCAGCAGAGACGGCTGGGAGTGGAAACACGTAGAGGGGGTTTGGGAAGGGGCAACACGTAGAGGGGATTTGGAATATGGATTCCGCATGGGCCACGCACATGTAAAAGTAATCTAGGCGTTGGGGGCTTCCGCGAATTGACCCAGACAGAAGTTTTATTACCTGCTGTCGGACAGCTAATATCGAGGCCAGAACGAGCAGGAGAAGCGCAGCCGCCCAGGCGATGTCTCCCGGCCGCGGCGAGAACTTCCTGCTTCCGCAATCCTCGAGAACCCGCGCTTTCGCCGCCCAGCCATCATGGCCTCTGGACAGTATCTCGAGAAGAGTAGTGGTTTCGTTGGCAGACTGTTCGTGCGACCACTCCTGCGACTGTTCCTGGGACGGTTCCTGCGACGGGTCCTGCGTCGGTTCCTGCGACAGATCCTGCGACTGGCTCTGCGACTGTTTTTCCGAATGCTCCAGCGTCGCCATGCCGCGGGAAAGCTGCTGTTATATGCTGCTTAAAACGGGGACGAACGACGTCGCGTCGTAGTAGCTCTCACGACGGCGACGTAGATTCGGAATTTGACAAGAATGAGTGGGGGAAGAGGAAGCGATGAGAATGAGTGGGGGAAAAGGAAGCGATGTCCAACGGGTCCGTCCGCACTAACGCGATCGCGAATATTCCGCCGCTGTCGCTCACAGCCACTACTAGTTGTAACCGTTGTCGCTCACTTCGCTTTCTCTCTGCTGTCGCTCACTGCTGTCGCTCATGGCCCGTCATCGCAGTAAAGTGCCATTTGGCTTATCGACACTCCGACGTCGCATCGCCTGATAATTCTTGCTGAAGCTAAACTTAGGGAGGACGCTGAAGGGGACGCAAGGCGCGGCGGTTCGAGAGAAATCTGCCTCCCGGACTATGTAGAATCTCCAGACTAGGATGCGAAGGAACGGACTCTTGAGTCGGCTCAGAAGTCTAGAATGACGCAGCTCAGATTCCGGACTATGTAGAATCTATGCAAACGAGGGACAGTAGGAGCTGCACTAATGGGGCTGGGGTGGGGGGGACTCGAATATTCTGAGCGAAGGCGAATGCTTATCATTATCTCGCAGACCTTTCATTCATCGTCCCGCAGACCTTTCATCGTCCAGGCAGCAGAATGTCGCAGGGAAAAGAGGTGGACGGCGCCGCAGCGTCGACAAGCGCGTCGCACAGCACGAGCACCAGGAGGTGCTGCAGTGGGTGGTTGGGTCCTCGCAGTACACCTAGCCCGCGGTATTGTTTTACCCAGTATTTTCACAGGGGGTGCCGCCGAGAGGGTATTCATCCCCCAAAATCAGCTCCTGACGACCAGATCCGGATACCCTTGAAAAACCATTTGAACTTGGGTTTCTATACGAAAAGTTTACTGCTCAATTTAGTGTTTCTTGAGTCAGGAAACCCAACGTCAGCTTAGGCAGTGCTCAAAGTTTTTTGCCCGCGTGGAGTCTTCCAAGATTAGGCCGTAGGGACAAGGGGGTACTATCTAAGCACTCAGAAATGGTCAGGGTGGAAACAAAAATTCTTCGGCCGCCCAGTTTCAGGGTGTAAAATTACCACGGGCTAGGTGTACACTTGGGAACTTCGGTTCTCCCAAATCTACAAGCGTGCGAGGTGGTTGAGGAAGGGGGAAATCTGGGAATGTGTGTTCCCCAGGCCCGCGCAGGCGAAGTCAAGCACTAGCATGGTCCATCCATGGAACTGACTGACTGACCCAAGGAGTGGTGGGGAATGACCTAGGGGAAATCAACGGCTGCGCGCGTCTCGGCCTTGAACTGACCCCAAGGGCAACGGCCGAAGCCTCCGAAGGGTGCGCTGCGGGAAGGCGGCTGGCTGCAAATGGAGCTTGTATCGATGGACTTGAAGTATGAAACCAATGTGAAATAGAATGGATAATTAGGACTTGATTTCATCTTACGTAGCTTTATATTTCAAGAATCTACCCCTACGTATTAAAGCCCGCGGCTAAAATAGCAGACCTGGAAACCACTTGAATTTGGTGCTTTGAAATCCTTCCAAGTATAGAATAGAAGGCAGATTTGAGTTCAAGCCTGAACAAGAAAAGTGCGTCGAAACGAATTCTAGTCGAGCTTGCTGATTGGAGGAATGGCGAAAGAACTCGTTTTGCCGTTTGTTGCGATGTGATCATTTGAATGCGAGCAGCACCTGGCACCTGAAAGGCAAAGTGAGGATGGGTTGTGTAAACCATGATTATCCAAGAATAGGAATCCTTGGGTATATCAAGATGTATACCTCATCGAGCCCGTTCAGTAAACATGCCTTAAATTGTGCTTGGAGGTCTGTATTGGACCATGCAGCCCCAAACTCGTACTAATCGAGTGTCGGTGGGGTGTTTCGTCCATATGACATATGGCGAGCTGAATTGAGGGAGAGCTGTTGAAAACAAGCAGTTGCGAAGGCGGACAGCTTGCGCCATCGCAAACGGCCAAAGGTCTGCTAACAAGCTGGACAGTTTCAACAGCACGCGCATCTTCTCTTGCAGCGTCCTGTTAGTTATCTCAGCTACACCATTCTGCTGATGGGCATAAGGCACAGTCTTTCCCCTCATAATCCCTTTCCGCGTCAGAAATTCATCGAACTGCTCGCTAGTGTGCTCGCCCGCGTTGTCTGTCTAGATCTCTTTCAACTTGATGCCGCTCTGCCGCTCCACGATTTTCAGCTATAGCTTGAAGGCGTCGAGAGCTTCAGATTTGTGGGAGATATTCTTGTCCCAGACGTATCGAGTAGCACTGACAATGAAGGTAATTATATTGCAGTCGTCGTTGCTGCTAATATCCTCTGCTTTCTGCGGCATGAAGAGCATGTCGCTGAAAACGACATCCATAGGTGAGTACTTAGTAGCACTTGGACAGTGCGACGGGAATGGAGCGTGACTTAGGTGAGCTTCGGGGCAGATGCTGCAAGGTAGTTGACGACTGCTAGGTCGAAGCTCTTGGCGATTGGTTAGAAGGAGTGCGTCCTTGTCGAAAACCGAGGCTTTAATGGAGTTGTTGAGAGCTTCTTGCGAGGGATGACCTAACCGCTTGTGCCAGATTTCTGCTATAGTCCTGTATCTGTTTGAATGCAGGTACAAGTCAGAGTGAAGGAAGAAAGCCGGCGAAAGATGAATCGTTGGCGCACAGTTGACGCAGCGGCCGGTGTTGAAAGGCTGGATGAACCTGGCTTCTTCTACAGTTCCAACCCAAGGTATGCCGAGGTGTCGGCGAGGCGCCCAAGCATCAGGTACGATTAAATCTTTCTTGCCCCATGTGCGTTCAACCTCCCTAGGTTCTTCGACTGTAGCAGATGTTGGTTCTTGATTGTCGTAACCCCAATTTCCATCTCCAGATGCCCATGTACTTTGAACTGTTTCTAATGCTGCTGATGAGGCTTCTGTTGGCTCTGCTGCACGTTCGTCGAGGAAGTTGGTGCGAGAAGGGTGAGGCGTGATGCAGAAGACATTGAGACCACGATGGTCTTAGCGCTAGAGATCCGTTTCCCAGTGATGATGCCAAGGAGCAAGTGAGACGTTCTTCTCACTATCGCCAGATGTGTCACAGGATCGAATGAGGTTTGCTCAATGTTGCACTATCATTCAGTACAAGGTGCTTTTATACTTCCAGAGTACATCAGGTAACTAGGTTTATCCTATCCAAAGGAAATAGACCCTTCTAGAAATAGAATCACCCTGCGTATAGCCATGCGAGGCTATTGGCTTTAAGGGATTACGGCAGGATTACGCTAGATATAGCGCGCCAGTACATCCCGAGCCTGGTCGGTGATATAATTGTAATAACAGGATAAACCAAAGGATAATGGAAATGGAGGAATAGGAAACCAAATGAGATGGGGTAAAGACCAAATGAATCAAGATAAAAAGAGGAATGAAATAGAAAGGAAATATGGAAAGGGGAAAATAGAGTAACGGGGTCGTACTCTCACACTTCCCCCCCTCAAAGCTGGGTGGTAGACGTAACACCCTGCTTGAGAAGGTAGTCGCGAAGAGGACGACGGGCGTTACCCATGTCGGATTCAGAGACGCAGCCTCAGAAGTATCATAACCCTTCCAGCAAAGAAGAAGCTCCAGAGTGCCAGTCTGACGAGGACGGTGTCCAAGTACGTAGTTGTCCCATGTCGTGGATGAACACGGGCGACGACAGTGGTTGGCATTCGGAATAGAGCGTGTTTGGTCTTGATAGGGTTTAAGAAGCTGGTATGGAAGGTGTTATGGATCTTCCAAGTGGCTGGTAGGCGGAAGCGAAAGGTGAATGAAGTTACCTTTGGTTCAAAGAGGATAGTCGCGTAGAAGCAAGGTTGAAGCTTGGATGGAAGTTGGCTGATGTCGAGATTATGGTCTCGAGAAGGGTAGTGATGAGTTGCAAGTGCTTGTGCTGATGTTGGATGTCCAAGAGGGCACTTGTGTGGTCGATGTACAAGATGGTGGACGATGGCGATGAAATCGGAAGCCAGTTGGACTGTGGCTGGTATGGTTAGCTGTTGTGGTGTGATCGGGTGGCGTCCGTAACAGACGAAGTACAGCGTCTGTCCAGTAGCGGGGTCAGGAGCATACTTGTAAGCAAACTCCAGGACGGGCAGATGCAAGTCGGAGTTGGAGATGTGAATGGTTGGAACAGTGTGCTGTAACGTGCAGATGAGTGGCTATGTAGTCCATTCCGTGCATGCTGTTACCCGCATCTGGTCCACGTGTGAAGATCACCAAGTGTTGGTGGTATGGCAGTTGTGTCGTAGTACTGCTTCCGTAGCAGTGTTGTATCCGTTACATGCAGCTTCTGTCGAATGATGGTCCATGCCGTAGTGTTATCGCGAGTCGTACCCACTGGGCATCGGAGTGCTGCGGATTGGAGAGCAGAATCACTAGTAGTAACCCTGTCCACCACGCGGTCGGCTAGCCACACTGCCTTGAGTACAACAGCGCATGCAAAGTGTTGCTCAGCGTATCCCTTGTGTTCAAAACCATGCGAGGGGTTGGTACCACAAACGCGGAGCTGGTAACTTCCAGAGTCGGCGCCAAAGTAGTTTCCCTCGGTGGTTGCTCAAGCAAGGAATCTCAGCTGTGTAGATATCCCACGGTGATGGGTTAGGACATCTGGGAATGTTAGGGGTATTCCCAAGAAATCCTTTCCCACTTCCAAATGGGCATTGCTGATAGCCAATCCAGTATGACCTTATGCACGTCCAGTTTAGCACGGAGTCCATCGGTAGGCATCGGTGTCTGGGTGCACATATTGGGATAGGTCTTCTGGTGCCATCATGTGTGGTCTGATTCTGTCACTGTCCTTGAAGTAGCGTTGATGTCGAAGATGTCTCAGCTACTCAGCATCAATGTTGAAGTCTGCTCCATTTCGGCAAACAGGGGTGCTGTTGGAGATACGCGGAGTCCACTATCCGGAGTGGCGTCGGCGCTCCATTTCACGCCTATCTGCTTCCGTGGAGGTGGTGCTGCTGATGGATTGGTTGTGACGCAGGTTTTATGACTTTAAGGAAAGCCATAGGCCATGAGGACTTGTATACCGGTAGAGTACCGTAGTCCTCCCATCCTCATAAGAGCAAATCTCTTCTGCTCTTGAGGGTATATGGCATTGCCATGTTGTTCCCTCGCATAGTGGTATCTCATTCCCACTAGCTGGAAATCATAGTACTGTGCCTGGCCGGGACTTAACGATCCACTGGAATATAATCCAGCATTATCTCCATTGAGTGGAGAATCATCCATCAGGATTTGGTTGTGACTGTTGTGTTGAGTCTTCTGCTGCGGCGGCGGCGGCGGTTGCGACAATGGCGACGGCGGCAGCTGCTGCAGAGAATTCTCTTAACTCGTACCAGTTGAAGGAGAATCCATCAACTCCCTCTTCCCAGTAGAGTGTTCCTGATGGGTGTAACAGGCGTAACTACCAAGAACACGTGCACATTAGTACACATGTGTTGCTCCATTGCTGCCGGTGATTGTTTCATTTGAGGGTGTGAAGAGAAATTTGCTTCTCCCCTCGATGTATCTACGGGTAGCAATTCCTGGTATGCTCATCCGT